GAAAAGAGAGAGAGAGAGAGAGAAAGAAAGAGAGAGAGAGCATTTTAATTTCGTAAAAATATAGAAAAATATAACATACCATAATAATAGTCATAAAATATTCTCTCTAATAATTGCGATTATCCAAATGTTTGATAGGAACAATAGAAACTTTTTAACTGCTACTTCTTACAAAGAATGTGTTTCAAATACTATTCACAGAAAGACTCACAATATATTTGATTTGCTGACTCCTAGTCGAGGAAAAGAAAAGAGACAGAAAGAAAACGAGATAAAAGACAGAACTAGTTTGAGTGGAGTTGTCAGCAAATCAAAAATAAAAATATCAAAATTATACAATCATGTATTTAACTACTCGTATAACATATATTTCTCTGGAATCCTAATTTGATCAGTTTGATTCCATTTTAATTTAAGATATTAAATTATCTGTAATATTACTTTGAAACATTTGTAATTATTGTATTAAAGTAAAATGTCCTTATATTCTATTACGTTTAATGTTTTCTGGATTTTCGAAATTTTCATTTTTTTTTCATTTTTGATTTTATGATTTTATTTTAAAAACAAAGCACTTCAGGACATATTTTCATAAAATCTTTTTTTTATAAATTAAGTTAAGAAATATCTTTTTATTTTTGTACTTACTTAGGAATCATCATCGGTATCGGTATATCAAATTATTATTGAATTGAACTATTGAAGATATTGATAAAAATGTAATAAATAATATAATAGTGATAGGAAATAATAGAGAATCAATGTGATTTCTCTTAATTTAAAAATTATCATAAAAATTTATCAGAAACTTAAAAAATATTAGATAGAATATTATCATCCAGATATTAAAGGATATTGAAAAATTAAATCTGATAATGCAGGGATATAAAGATATCCAAATGATATTATTCCAGACACATCGAATAAGCTTATGTAAGATTAAGAATATTTAGATATATCCCATGGATATTAGAAAATTCCTCGTATACATACGCAATACACAAATGAATTATAAACAGTCATTAATACAGTATAAGAATTTTTGAAAAATGATTAAAGTTATGCTAAGCAAAGTTATGCTAAGTATAATGTTAAATAATCCAAATTAATCTTATTATTTTGTATTTTTATTAGAATTGTACAAGAGAAGAGTAACAATATTATTACTAATATAAATATAATATACATCTAATCTTTCTATATTACTAAAATGTTAAGTAAAACTAGATTTATAAAATCTTAAAATCACTTAAAAAGCTTGAATACAAAATGAATAAGTAATGATAATAAACTTAAACTATTTTTAGTAAATATATCTATATTTTATCCAACAATTCCATTTACATTAATTCCATTTTCATAATAAAAAATAAACAAGTAATATCAAATCACTTACTAGTGAGAATAATTTAATATATATATATTTTAAAGTATTAATAGTTTAATATTATTATTATTATTATTATAAAGAGATTTGTACATAAATTATTTGAAAGAAAATTTGAATTTCGCGCTAAATACATATAGTTTTGTATTCGTTTTTGATAACGGATCCTATCTCACTTATTGACGCGAATTGTTATACATATATGATTAGAGAATAATCGGTAAAAAATCCGTTGCGATCTGTGCAATTTCAATCTAATTTAGCTATAATAAATCTATTTTAAAGCTGCAATCTCTATGCTTCAATATATCTGATGAAAATGAAAAATTATACAGAAAATTTTATATTGCGTTTAACATATTTTCACGCATCTGTTGTAGATTTCGTTTTTCTATTTTAACCTTTAAAGGTTTAATTGTAGATAACATTATATACGCATTTAACTCTATATCTTTTATGTCTATACTTTTATCTACTTTGAATACAAATGCTCGTACCAAAGTAGCTAGAATAACTTTTATAGCAATCATCCCATAGTTCATACCTGTAAATTTTTATTTATACATAAATTAATTTCAATTATTTTATGATTCTCTTAATTCTACTAATATTTTATTCATGTTTGTTGTACCTATACAATTTCTTGGACCATCACCGAAAGGTATATAGCAATGTGAGGGACGATCTTTTATTTTGTCTGGAAGAAATCTATCCGGATCAAATGTTAATGGGTTTGGCCAATATTTTTCGTTTCGATGTAAGTATATAATTGGTATAATAACATCTGTCCCTTTTGGCAAAATATGATCTCCTGAAACATATTTCTTGATATTAAATAAAAAAATAATAAAAATAAAAAATAAAAAAATAATATATTAGTAGAAACTAAAGCAAATAGTAATTTTCAATACATTTATAAATCTATGCTATTAATTACAAATGTTATTTTATTGAAGAATATTTCTATTATAATATATTTTGTAAGAATTTTATGCATTTCCTTACTTCTAATGTCACAACTAAAGACTATAAAAAAAATAATTGAAGCTTCAACAGTAAACATATATAGAATGTCATATAATTAGTGACATAAGCAGATAGAGATTGGTACATCAGATTATATTAAATAGAAAAGTTCTTTACCACTTGCAATTTCCATAATAATTAATGAAATAATTTATAAATATTCACGAATGAAAGGTATAGTCTTACGACTGTTAAGTGTTTGGTGAACTGTTTGGAAAAGTAAGCTATAAATGATAAAACATTCTATAATACTTTGCCTCCAAATAGGCAAAGTGATCTTATTAATTTTTCGGCATAATCACCTGATCTGATTCCATTTAATTTCTTTATATAGCGATTTAAAAACTAAAGTATTAGAAATCTATAAAAACGAATTCGAAATAGATTTATCTTCCGTAATATAATATATAGAATATTCTTTCCATAATATAATTCTACTTAGAATTATACACAATATTCTGTAAAAAAGCAAATTTCTGATGACTTAAATGTAAAATATCCAGCGTTCGCTAAGCAAAAATTTTATATTATTTTTCTTAAACAATGTATTAATGTAATATTGCACAGTTTTTATCTTCTTTTAATTCCCCAGTGTACTTCTTTTTATGTACATCTGTTTATATAAGATAAGAAAGATAAGAATGTTATAATTGTTATAAGCCGATCGACAGTCGATCAGATTACATCAGTCCTACTATCTACAGTTGTATCATTATAGAAAAATGACGTCATAAGTTCTAAATAGGATTGGTATTAGTGATAGTCCTCTCCTTATAGTGATACGAAACTACTAATATTTATATATTTAAATTTCAAATTGCTCATTCTTTAAATTGTTAAATATTCTCAGGAGAAATGAAATTAAATATATTGTTATAAAACTAACAATAAATAATCACTTATAATAAATAAAATTGTATAAACGAACTCACCTATTTTTAAATTTTCCATTACTTTTCGTCCAATTAGAGGAATAACAGGGAAAAGTCTCAAAGTTTCTTTAATAATACAATCCAAATAATGCATACGTTGTATATCATCATATTTAATGGGTGCACTCTTTAGAGTTTCCAGACCATAAATATCTAACATTTCCTTATATAATTTTCCTTTCATGAAATTAAACTTTTATGTATATGTGTGTGTGTGTGTGTGTGTATATATATATATAAAATATATTTTCTATGTTATTAATATATATGTTATACATAAAATATATATATATTTTTTTTATTTATAACATATATATTAATGACATAGAAAATATGTTATTTTAAAATTACATGTATATGATATATGTATATAATACCTGTATTTCTGGAAAATTTGCCAACATAAAAACCGCAATATAAGTTGTAAAAACAGTTGTATCACTACTCTATGTAATTAAAAACATTTTATTATCTATTTGTAAATAATTATAGAATTAACATATAGCAAATACTATTGCAATTATATTATTGTACTTACAGCCATTATCAGCGTTGTAACATTATCGCAAATCTCTTTTTTCGTAAAGTTTTCTTTATGAGATGATGCTATTAACATATCGAGAAAGCTACAATCTGTATTATAAAAAGAAGTGTTATTAATAAGTTCCTTATTTAACTTAAAAGGTTATAGGACTTTTGTTGAGGTCAAAGAATTTTTTTATATTTTGTCGTAAAATAACTCTTTATGAATCTTTTATCGCAAATTAAAATTTGAAATATTATTTTTAATCAAGAACATAAACCAATTGAAGTAAAATCAGAGGCATATTTTTGTCGCATTTTCTGTAATATTTTTTTGGACTTTGTGTTTATTATAGATTCTTTATCACAGGATAAAGATCTCTCAAATATTTAAAATTTGAAAATAATAACAATAACTGACAATAATGAATTAAACATATTCAACACATTGCTTAATTGTTAAGTGAAAATAACAATTTGTTGTATTTATATACAACGTTTTTTTCTATTTATATAAAATTAAATTTTTTTTTATATTTATATAATATTAAACTATTTTTTAGTCTATTTTTTCTGAAACTTAATACACTCAATATATTTTGATTTATAATTTCTAGATATTATATTTTTTCTCATATTTTGGAGTTAATCTTTCGAGATATTGTTTAATTTCTAAGATTTCAAGACATTTATGACTTTTAGGAATTGTCATTCTTTTTTACATTTTATCCTAAAATTTTTAAAGATTATCGCTATAAAAATATTTACTTATTAGTTTTCAAGCTTTAGTTTTCAAGTAATAATGGTTTCAAGTAACAAGTAACAAGTTGAAAACGTCTTTTTGTGCACAAAGATCCTGTAATCTTTTGATCAAATATATAAATTCAATATAATTTATTACATATGCATGCACGCACGTATGCCATCCCTTATCTCTTATATACGTATTTTTAATAACATCCTTACCAGTGTCATCATCATACTTGACTACTTGACTACTTGTATTTGAATGGTTTATCCGTTGTTGTATCATCTGTAATAAATATTGTAAATAATAATAAATAAAATAATGTAAAATATAATTAACAAATATATTTTATATAGCAATACCTTATCGATAACGGAATTCATAAAATTTAAAATCTTTTTCTGTTCGCGTCCCATAGCAGTAAGATTAAATATAATATCAGAATGTAAATATATTTTCCAAAATCTATTTCTCAAAATTTTCTTTAATCTGAAAGATTTTTTTTTATTTTATATATATATATATATATATATATATATGTGTTGTATGTATGTTAGTGTTATAATATTATATATATATATATATATATATATATATATATATACATATATATATATGTATATTGAACCAATCATAATTATTAATTATTATAAATATAAAAAAATTATTGTTTCTAAAATTATACTGTAATGTATATTTATAACAATTTAACTCAAAATCTTAGATAGCACAAATAATTCTTACATTATTTTTCAAATAATCTTTTTATAACAAATATCTTCTTTTATGATTTGTAATGTTTTAGAAATTCATAGAATAAAATAATAGAACAAATAAATAGGAAGAGAAAGACCGATAAACAAGGAAATTAAGATCTAATTATTAAAATGCATGCATAAAAATATTTAATTATTAAATTAGAATCAAAATATATATATAAAGCTTAGGATATTTAAGCTTATCAGAAATTTTCTGGTATATCATAATGTAATTGTTTAAGAAAATATAAAAATTTTGTTTATATATACAGATTGTTGCAAATATTCAAAAAAATTGATTTACCTTTTCATTGCTTTCAAATACTCATCAAGAATACTTGTTTCCATCTTAATGCCCATAGTATCTTAATGTAATAACACATAAGAAAATAACTTATTATTTTTACATAATATATAATGATATGTATTAATGTTTATATCACTTATAAACAAAACATCTTATAATTAAAAAAAAAGGATTGTGTCAATTGAATAAAAATTGAATATTTTACTAATAATAATGTTTGCTTTAAAGTATATAACATTAATTGTAAACAATTAGGTTACATGTAATTATATTACATAAGTGTTTATATTGTGTTTTCTGAATCTCTTTAGTCTTAAATAATAAATGCATAAATAATATAAATTGATATTTTATAAATAACTATAAATTTATAACAAATTAACAATTGATAACTAATTTAAGTAAAATCAATGAATTTAATTAATAATATTTATTAAAATTCAGATTCTAAGCATTTAATTTTTTTTAATTAATAAAAAATTAATAAAAAAATTGTAATCAATATTGTAATGCCAAAGTGTTAGTTTTTCGGATACTTTTTAGGAAGCTGTCTGTGTTCCTTATAAATCGCTATAATATATACATAATATAATATAAAAATATGTTAAATTTTATATCTTACCACATGTAATTCTTAAAACACATTTTGATACATATTTAAGAAAGATAATTTCATTGTTATTTTGCTCAATTTGCCCTAATTCTTCATTAAGTACTAAAGCTTCTTTAACAAATACTTTAAAAAATTTTTTCAACATGGATGTGCTAAAGGTTGGTGCTATCATTCTTCGAGATCGCGTCCATATGTGTACTGAAATAATTAAATAATAAAGTTATATCTATATAGAGGAAAATAATGAATATATCATAATATTAAAACAAATTAGTGTAAGAAATATTAATGTGAAAAAATGCTTCACGAAAATGATATTGTTAACAAAAAAAGATTTATTATTAAAAAGTAATTTAATAATTATAAATATAATAAAATACAATATAAAAATAAGTGCTAATTAATAACAATATTTGTATTATAAATGAATTTTAAATGTTATAGATATAACACTATAAATCAATGTTTAAGATAATGATGAGTAGAGTTTGCAGCTATATTTTTACGTTTTATTAAATAGAAAAAAGTAATATGTATTAATTATATTCCCACAAATAGTCAAATCTGCGTAAGTAGATTTTGAGCAGAGTCTGCTAAGTTTTTGATATCATAAAAGCAACAAATCTAATACAGGATCTATTTCATCTAATTATGTTGTTAAACTGTTGTCAAAAATATGATAGAATATGCTGACAGGCAATGCGAACAAATTAGCGGCAGAAACAGTGTAGGCTCTGCTACGAAAAGTTTGGCGATAGAATCTGATCGATTTCTGCTGCCAATCTGCTGGGACAGCATCAGGATCAGCAAATTAGACAAATCCTGAGCTGAATGCAGATATAGATTGCAATCAAAATCTGATTGAATTTATTACCAATCTGCCAGCAAATGCTAATATTTTGCTAATTGGATTGTTATAAAAAAACAAGTAGCCAAATAATTAAAAAATTAAGTATTTTATACTTTTAAATATGTCATACCAGGAGCTGTCAATAATCCTGTGCCAAATAATGGTTCAGCATATTTATAAAATGTACTCTTGTTTAAACAACATTGACTGCGTAAGACAATCTACAACATAAATTATTAATTATAAATTAATTATAAAAATTAATTATAAATTAATTTTTTCAAATTTACATGCATTTACTTTATTTGAGTAATATACATAAAAAAATTTGTATTATATTTAAGAAATATCGTATCTCCAGTTTATTTAAATTTTTGTGTTAATTTAATAATATCGAGATAATATTGAGAATATCATACGATGATACTATATTATATATAATTTATTACGTTATTATTTCAACATAAAACAAATGCAATCTTTATCAGAATATAAAGTCATGTTATGATATAAAATTGATAAATTGTATTTAAAATTTTTGAATTAAATTTTATTCAGTAACTTTATATCTTAAATTAGTTAGTAGTAAGTATGAAATCGCTAAAGTTACTCAATTTATATATAATTATATATAATATTATTTATATAATAATATATATATATGTTAAATTTACATAAATGTATATTTGTACATACATAAAGGCACATCTATGTTGCCTGGGAAAAATTTTAAATTTACTTTTTTTGTGCATATTAGATATCTTAAATATTATCTGTAATATTGCTAGTTGAGATTTTTATCTCTTTATAATGTATAAAGAAATTTTGAAATACTATTTATACTAAAAACATTATAATAAAATAAATGTTCCTTTACCTTTATTTGATCTGGTTCGCACATTCCAATCAGTACTTTATGAATCATATAAAATTGTAATAGTGAATATGATGAATACTTTTCTGCCGTTTTATTTATGATATTTAAAATACCTATAAATTTAAGTAATAATATTAATGTAATGTTATACTATTAATATAGTATTAAATATCTGTAATTATTAGTATTAAATATCTGTAAGAGAAATTAAATTTTATCTCGTTTTAAAATATAATTAATTTAATATACTAATTATTAACTTAATATTTTTGATTATAACTTAATTTTGGAGTTCTAAATTTAAAAAATTCTTCTATTCTAATTCTTTAAATTTTTTAAATATATTGTTTGTTATTACCTCCAGATATTCCATAAAGAAAAATGTAAGAAGTACCCAGAAGTGGTATTGCTTTTAATTCTGGTAAATTTAGTCTTTTAATAAAAAATACTTTTTGATACCAACTGCAGAAAAAATAAATTATAACAATTGTCAAGCAAATTAACGTAAAACTTTCAAACAACATTGTATTAAACAGTAAAACAATAATGAAGCGTATTATAACTTGGTTACAAGCGGAATGTCAATGTTGTAACAAGGCTCTTTTATATATTTTCCCACAAATGAATTAACTCAATAATAGAATCTTGTAAAAACTGTTTAAATATATGCAACAGTTTATATTTCAACAATATAATTGAATGCGTTTAGATTAGATTTAATTTAAGTGCATCAAATTATCTTTTTTAAAAATGACTATAAGTTCTCAAACAAATTTAAACATTTTCGCACATTCGCAAATCTATAACCAATGTTATGTACTAAAAAGTAAATGTTCATTTTTTGGAATTATAAAAATGATCCTAAAACATAGATGTCAGACATAATATATGTTCAAAATTTAGTAAAAGCAAGAAAAAATATGATATGTAAATTATAAAAAAAAAAACAATGATTTAAAGACGTTAAAAAGATGCTTATATATCTTTCTTACGAAAAAAATGCTAAATTAAAAATTTTGGCGTCTGTTTATGTAAAAATAATTTTACGTATTCGTCAGAAAAAATATATTTCCTCAGAAAAAATAATGGATGTATACGTAAAAAGCTGTAAAAGTAAAAGTTGTTTTTAAAAAAACATGTTGACATTTTAATTCCCCTTGAAGTGGGGAAAGTGACATCAAGATTTGGACTCTGGTTATATCACGGATGAATTTTTTAATTCATCGATTGATCAATCGCATAAAGCGCAAATAAATCTTTTTTTTATTCATCGATGAAATATATTAATGTGTTTATTTATATTTATATGAGTATTAAATGAATATGAATATTAAATACTCTAAATTATTGATATCTATCAATAATCATCAATCTTGATCATATACATATGTAACATACATATATAACTGTCGACGTTTATAAGTCCATATTTTTAACCGTTGCTTTTTTTTTCTTGAATCTTTATATATCGAGTTCGATTGAAACGTAATGTAATAACTTTTTCGGCGGTCTGCTCTGTCGGAGCTCCACCATTAAACGGGACCCCCATGCCAAAAGTGTATACATTGCGCGAGGCCAATCTTCGGCGTTAAATATTAAGGGCTGTCTACATAGGACGCAACACACAAAACATGCGGATAAACGCAAACGCGCAAGATGACGTTTCACACATAAGGTGTACGCATTCGCAGTATGGTCGTCCATATGCGAAAGTTAAAACAACTTTAACTTTCTGCTTTGCCGCAATTGCGTTGACCAAGTTGATCAGAGTGAGCCAAAAGATAGATATCAGAAAGAAAAATTTGTGACATGTGAAACGCGGCAAAGAGAAAAAAATTCACAAAATTCCAGAAATTCTTCATGATCGCACTTTTTCATATACACAAATATATTATCGCGGTGTCCTTTTAGTTTACGTGTTCTATTTATCGGGTGAATCTTCGTTTTTACTTTTTTTTTCATTAGACGTTTACATAAGTTTAATTCTGTTGCATTTAAAATATAAAATAAAAATAAATGTTTGTTTTTATCCATTTTGTTTCAGAGTTCAGAAACAATTTAGAGATTAAATGCAACTTAGTTACGCGATGCCTTGTGTTCAATGTAAACATCTTGATTTTCGTCGATTTTCGCGAATGCGTCTTGCTTTTTTTCCACGTCGCGACTTGCGTGTTACGCCTATGTAAACGGTCTTTTATGCCTGAACAATATCACCTTGACATGCTTTTATATACACATTTCTAACTAAGTTTAGCATCTGTGCAATAACATCTGTGCTTGAATAAAAAAAATTAACATAACAAGTAATTTTGTTTTTTTAACATGAAAAAATATTTATACAAAATTATATTGATTATATAAGAAATATAAAAATTACATTTTACATACTTTAAAGTATTTATACTTTACAATTAAACGTTTATTATAATTTATAAAAACAGTTATGACTAATTAATGACACCATCTATATCCGGCGTAATGAAAGGGTATTGAAACTAAATTGTATAAAAGATTTCATATCGAAAATTGATAGTGTCAACTTGTAATTGTTAAAAAAATCTAATATAATTATTGTACTGTGAACAAAATTTGATGTGTAAAAATATAATATTATAATGGTAATATTTCATTAAATTATTATCTTTTTACATTCTTTTTTGATTGATGAAAATTTTACATCAAAAATTTTAGTTTTAACATTGCACGATGCAAATAGAATTGAATTATTTCGAGATTCTACTGCGCAGTCTAAGTGATTAAGCAATCTCAAGGTTTCAAAATGTATAATTCATAAACATTTAATATAAAACTTGGCAACAATCTAAATGATAGTATCTCAAGATTAACCATAATGTATAATTCATAATTCATAAAAACTTAATGTATTAATGTATATAAATTTTAAATTTAAATTTAAAGTGTGGATGTTAAAACCAATGCACTTGTCAAAGACATTCAAGTCAATATAGTTTACTAAAAATTATACGGCGTTAGTAAAAAAAAATGATCTTAATTTAATTATTAAGTATAAATACGTATTATATTGAATAAATTCATTTTAACTTGTCCGAGAAACTTGTCTGGAGTTGATATCGCTAATTTAGTTTGAATGGAATCCAAAGTAAACAAGCTTTCTATATTAATTTTTATTAAAACGATATAAGATATAATTCAACAAAAATACAAAAAAATTTAAGAAAAAACACAAACGAAAATCATGTCATATATTTGATACAGTAATAAAATTCGCATCAAGAAATACAGCAAGAAGATTATTACAATTTGGTCGGAATATGTGTTCGATAAGAATTAATAAATTTATACAGACCTTCTACCATCGCCGCCGATCTTCATTGGCGATTCTCTTTTTTTTTGCACGCATGTTTTAAATTTTTTAATATTTATTGTTTACTATACGATTAAATTTAGTACCAAATACAATCACATATGAAAGTATATACATAATCAAATAAAATACAATAAAAATACGAAACTTTTCGCAAGATACAATTGAACTTGATATATTATAATATATTTTTTATTTTTGTTCTATTTTATTATTTGATATTGCACATATGATATTATATAAAGAGCAAATATAAAGAAAGTATCACTTCATACAACATTAAGATACAACAAAGAAGAAACGTGTAATTAATAGTGCACAAAATAAGTACAGCGCTTTTATATTTTATTTTTAATATATGTTTTGATAATGCGAAATTACACGAAAAGAATTAAAATATATAAAATAACATAAAAATCATTACTTATGTCGTATCATTTGATCCACGTATTGTGGAAGTAGCATGGACACATCCCAGAATAGGATATTTCATTGGCGATATCAGAAATTAAGTGACTGACTTAATTTCAATATGCTAAAATGATTTGGGAGTACCAGTGTACGGGAATTTCCATGAAAAAGGCCGGATAGCCGAAATTTAGTCAATTGCCGCGCCATCTCGCGATGTAATCCGTGAACTCCAACAAACGTTGAATTACAGGCGCCTTTACGAGGCTAGGTCAGCCGAGCTGTCGCGATAACCGGTTGGTCGTTTGTTTCACTACCGTGAATTTTCTCCTTTTGGTTTGTCCCCCTACTTAGTGCCGGGATTTGAGGTAGATTTTAAAAATATGATGCAGGCCAGTCTTTGGAACTTGGTGACCACCTCAATCAGGGTAAGTCACGGAGGTTGTTTCGTTCAAAATCACGCGGACGAGATCTAGAGATATCTTGGATATCTCTTTCGTAATATCTCGCAGGTTAGCGCAATTTTTCGCTTTAATTTGTCGGAGAGAATTTTTGTGATGATTCTACGTATACGCCCGCACGCGAATTGACCGGAGTTGCGTCTCAACTTTCGAGAATTCGATGAGAAATCTTTATGATTTCGTTTTATGAATAAAGACAGCATGACGAATTGGTTATGTCATTGCTCTCTTCGTTAATCTATTACAGGGTCTGTCCTCTTAGCTATACTAAGTAGCACTTTCTGCACTCAAAATGAAATTGAAGGAAATGGAAAAATTAAATGTAAATAGAAAAGGAATGTAGATGAATAAAACGTAAGATAGCAAAGATGTAACAAAATTTATAAATATTATTTATATATATAATAAGAAATATATCTATAATAAAAATATGTAAATATGCAATGTGTATGTATGTATGTGTATATATATATATATATATATATATCTTTGTTTTTGAATTAGCAAAAGTTTTCTTTGCTGCATATGTTCATCGATGCATCAATTCTAATATTCTTTCTATTTGTTTTCAGCCAATATGTATAAAACGTATCTTACCAGGCATGACTGCCACTCAACAACGTAGATACGCTAGTACAGTGGACGCAGACATAGTAGTGATCGGGGCAGGTCCCGGCGGATATGTAGCAGCAATTAAAGCTGCCCAATTGGGCATGAAGACCATGTGTGTAGAAAAAGGCCCAACTCTGGGAGGGACGTGTCTTAATGTTGGATGCATTCCATCAAAGTCACTTTTAAACAATTCACATTACTATCATATAGCACACAGTGGGGAATTAGCAAATCGTGGAGTCATCGGTGAGTGAAGCTAAATGAATCATTTATCAAAAGTTGTATTATAACGGGAAACATTCTTTACAGTATCAAATGTTAAATTGGACCTCAACAAAGTCATGGAACAGAAGACAAATGTAGTTAAAGCCTTGACTGGCGGTATAGCGGGTTTGTTTAAAAAGAACAAGGTCGAATGGGTCAAGGGTCATGGAAAAATCACTGGCAAGAATCAAGTTACTGCCTTAAAACCTGACGGATCAGTAGAATCGATTATCAATACTAAGAACATCGTGATAGCGACTGGTAGCGAAGTTACGCCTTTTCCCAGCATCGAAATCGATGAGAAAAAGATCGTGTCCTCGACTGGTGCACTGTCGCTCAGTGAAGTTCCTAAAAGGCTTATCGTTATTGGAGCTGGAGTCATTGGATTGGAATTGGGTTCAGTTTGGCAAAGGTTTGCTTTAAAAAATAAATTCTCTGCTATAAAAAAATTGATTTGCACTAAATTCTTGTTAAAAATCATTTTCTACAGATTAGGTTCCGATGTGATAGCTGTTGAATTTATGCCAACTATCGGCGGTATGGGTATTGACGGAGAAGTCAGTAAAACCATGCAGAAAATCCTCACGAGACAGGGTCTAAAGTTTAAACTGGGAACAAAAGTCACGGCTGCTAACAAGCGTGGCAATGAGATTGTGGTTTCCGTCGAGGATGCGAAGGACTCTAGTAAAAAAGAGGACTTGGCATGCGATGTGTTGCTTGTGTGCGTTGGTAGGAGGCCATACACGCAGAATTTGGGTTTGGAGGATATGGGCATTGAGAGAGATGAGAAAGGAAGAATACCAGTAAACAATCGATTCCAAACGGTGGTGCCTAGGTAATCACAAAATTTATGTCGCAAATGAAACAGCGATCTTGGCTTTAATTTCTTTCAATGTTTGGAATTATCTCGATGACTTTAACTAATTATTTTATTGCTATAATTAAATTCGCAGTATTTATGCCATTGGTGATTGCATCCACGGACCAATGTTGGCTCATAAGGCCGAGGACGAAGGCATAATCACGGTGGAGGGTATTGCCGGAGGTAAAAATTAAATATAACTCGGTGTAGCACTAAACGTGTAAATATGAAGATGCAGCTTTTTATTTATTCAATTTGATTAAACATGAGGACATCTCGCGATGCAGGTGCGGTTCACATTGACTACAACTGTGTGCCGAGCGTGATATACACGCATCCGGAAGTTGGTTGGGTTGGCAAGACGGAAGAAGATCTGAAAAAAGAGGGTATCGACTTCAAAATCGGCAAGTTTCCATTCATAGCGAATTCCCGAGCGAAGACGAATCTCGACACAGATGGTTTCGCGAAAGTACTCGCCGATCGTAATACAGATAAAATCCTGGGCGTACATATAATCGGACCGTGCGCGGGCGAGCTCATCAACGAAGCTGTTCTCGCAATGGAATATGGCGCCAGTGCGGAAGACGTTGCCCGCGTATGTCACGCACATCCGGTAAGCATCTAATTACGATTTTGCATTGGGTAGCTTCGCTTTGTCCTTCCATGATTAATCGTGATTACATATTTGTATATGTATTTAAAAATTTTCTACAAGAAACATTGAAAGCACTAATTAACAATTCCTTGATAAGTTGTTTATTATATTTATTTTTATTATATGTTTTTTAGTTAGATTATTATATGTTTGATAGTTTATTAAAATTAATAAATTTATTAAAGTCTATTTGAAATCTATTAAATTGAAATTGATAAAAAAGAAGTTAAAAAAATGTACAAATTATTTTCAATCAATATTTTATATTTATTTTTCCTTTCTTTCAGACGTGCGCTGAAGCACTCAGGGAAGCTCATCTGGCAGCCTACTTCGGCAAAGCTATCAACTTCTAAATTTCTATAGAGAATAAGCAAATTACATATATTAGTTCATATCTTGATTGTGCGTTTAGCACTAAACATACCTGTCTTCTTCCAAATTTACTGAGATAGTATATTGTGCGGACAGACATGTTTTTCATGCTAAATGCGCGTGATTACGCGGCTCTTTTGACTTCACATCGTAGCCTGAATCTAGTCTACGTATCAACGTCGTTCTACGTCGCGTGAATCGTAGCACGTCGCATAAAGAAATATGATTGTAAATAAAAAGCCATCACGCGGAGGTGATTTTATCTCTGTCTAATTAGTGTATTTATTACAAATAAACGAAAATGCAGCATGATAATTTGTCGGATTCTTCGAACTGTTCATTCTAAAAGAAGAAAATAAAGAAAGAGGATGATAAAGCATTCAACAAAGCTAATTCAAAAAACATTTTATAAAAAAGGAAAAAATTTTCAAATTTTCTCGAAAACAGGAAGAGAACATGTTATTATTTAATTTTATCCTATTTTCCCCATATTTGTTAAATATAATATTTTTTAAATCTAATATCTATTTCTACATGGACCCCTAAGAATAGAGAGATGGACTCTAAAGTTTAAATGAGGGAGGGTGTAGAAACTCAATAAGCGGAAGGAATCATTTTTTGTCATATTCATTCGCTCACTCACATATAAATATACACATATAAATATGTGTTTGTGATATGCTATTTGCAGTAGTAACACGAAGAGATTCACACACACACACACACACTATTATATTATATTATATATATATGGTGTGTGTGTGTGTTTTCAATGTGGTTCCATGTAGTTCCATAATGTAATTCCATATGTTACAACATACGATCTGCAAAACAATAGGATCTTGCCGCGAATATGCTTCACTTCTCTAGCCCCATCCTTAATTATAAGTTCGTGGCTGTTTGTTCACAATTTGGAATGTGGCGTCTCTGACTCAAATAACAACCGATTGGCGTCGCAGGTCGCACGTCTCGTGCGCCTCGATTGTCCACTGAATGAATAATTCTTGTAAATATTTCTATCTCGACATCTATTTGATAATTACCGAGGAATCGCACAGCAAGAATCTAGTTCGGAAATTTGTGGCTCGTTGAAGTGAACTGGTAGTCGGGGAGTGAAACGAAATTCATCCTTTTTAGTTATCTTAACCTTTTCTGATTGATGCTACGGCGATAAGATTCGTCAATTTGCAAACCAGATTATTGCATTCTTGGAAGGAATATGAGGTACGTACTCACGTTCCTTTCAACAAGTATAAACATTTGTTCTCTCCCAGTGACACTTGCAAACCTTCCTCTACGTAGATAACCTAACCTCAACATGAGCAGCTACAACAAGAAAGTAGCATATTTTTACAATCCGGAAGTCGGCAATTTTCATTATGGACCAGGTCATCCTATGAAACCGCACCGACTGTCTGTGATTCACAGCCTGGTGCTCAATTATGGCCTCCACAGGAAGATGCAGATTTACCGGCCATATCGTGCCAGCACCCATGATATGTGTCGCTTCCACTCGGAGGACTATGTGGAGTTCTTGCAACGCGTCACACCACAGAATCTGCAAGGATATACCAAATACCTGAGTCACTTCAATGTAGGCGACGACTGTCCGGTATTCGATGGCCTCTTCGACTTTTGTTCTATGTATACCGGCGCTTCGTTGGACGGTGCCACCAAGCTAAACAACAATTGCTGTGATATCGCCGTCAATTGGAGCGGCGGTCTGCATCACGCAAAAAAATTCGAGGCGTCCGGCTTCTGTTATATTAATGATATCGTAATCGCTATACTGGAATTACTCAAATACCGTGCTCGAGTGCTGTACATTGACATTGATGTGCATCACGGAGATGGTGTGCAGGAGGCCTTCTATTTAACTGATCGCGTAATGACTGTGTCGTTTCACAAATATGGCAATTACTTCTTCCCTGGTACCGGCGACATGTATGAGATTGGCGCCGAGAGCGGTCGTTATTATTCAGTGAACGTGCCGCTGAAGGAGGGGATCGACGATACATCATACATACAAGTTTTCAAGCCTGTCATATCCCACGTGATGGAGTTCTTTCAGCCGACGGCGATAGTCCTTCAATGTGGTGCTGACTCCCTTGCGAATGATCGACTCGGCTGCTTCAGTCTCAGCACGAAGGGGCACGGCGAGTGCGTAAAATTTGTGAGGGATCTAAATGTACCCTTGCTAGCTGTTGGCGGTGGCGGTTATACCCTGCGTAATGTTGCCAGATGCTGGACCTACGAGACGTCCTTACTCGTGGATGAACAGATTAGCAACGAGCTACCATACACCGAATATTTAGAATATTTCGCGCCAGATTTCACTCTTCATCCCGAAGTTGTGACCAGACAGGATAACGCTAACAGTAAACAGTATTTAGAAGCGATCACCAGACATGTGTGTGACAATCTTAAGATGATCCAGCATTCACCAAGCGTACAGATGCAGGACGTCCCGTGTGATGCGCTGCCTCCTGAAGAGGAAAGACAACCGGAACCGGATCCGGACTCGCGGCAGAATCCACAAGACACGGACAAGATTGTCGAACCGGCAAACGAGTATTATGCCGGTGACAAGGATCAGGACAAAATGGATGTGAACGACTCGTGATAAAGACAGTATCGCAATTCACAAGGTCGTAAAAATCGCTTGAGCTTTCATACATGATCCAGATTTATATATACTTGGAGCTCTTGTCGATATTAACTAAATGAGTATGAAAAAATTAAACTGGGATTATCTTTTTTATGACTGATTTTAAGACAATAGAAAAATTGTACAGTAATTGTACAATTATCAAGTTTTAACTTTCAATATCATTGACATATGAAATAAAACTGACAGACATTTTGCAATACACACACACACACACACACACACACACACACACACACACACACACACACACACACACACTACTTTCGAGTGCGAAAAATGAAAAAAAAATGTAAATATGACAATAGACTGATTTGTATTAATTATGAAAAAGACATTTCGTTGAATAAAAGGTTGGTGTTCATAGTCCATTCTTATTTTTAAGTCTTTAGTACAAACTTTAATCAAGATATCAAACAAATCACAAAACTATATGAGCATCTGCAAGACATTATCTTGAAATAAGAACAGACTATAAATATCAATCTAATATTCATTTTTCTTAAAATTAAAAAAAAGGTAAATTAAATTTAAAGTAATTTAAATTTAATATACAATGAAAATAGACGTAAATCTTGCGGATTTGAATCATGGACAATTATATAAAATATATAAAATATATCTGTACTTTAGATTTTAATAAATTTGTTTACTTGATTCATATTTCTACTGAGATGGGATTAGTTTCTTAATTGAAGAAACATTCGGTAATCACACGATATGATCAGAATATTTGGATTTTAAATATCATTAGGCAAGTTTATTGTTTTACATCAGACAGCAATATCCGTATTGTCTACAATGGTACAACGACGATGAGGATGATATTAATAGCAATAGTATATAATAATAATAATTGCAATAACGAATAACGTTTGTATCTCTGTCTCGGGGCTGTCTTGCTATATCACAGAGAACTTAATCTTCGCACGATGTAATTCCCTTGTCCCTTGTAAAACTCTTTTTCTTTTCCTTAACAAGAGTAGAAACGCAAAACGATTCTCTCGGGCGCACGAGGTGAGGGAGGGGACGGACCTCTCCTCTTGGTAAGAGTACTAAATGCGACTAATTGCAATAAATTAGGACTCTTAAATTAAGGCGCTTTGTTCTGTACATTCCGTATTTTGTAAACTCTACAAAAAGTCTCTCGAAAAATAATACACGTACAAAAATACTCACGGTACGAGAGGAACGCAAATACTCGATTTCCGACTTTTACCCTTTGCAAGAACGGTGCAAAAAACTATGCGATGCAGAGGCAATGCGTGTGTGTACTTTTCGCGAATGCATCGCGTCCGGGGTTTCGCCGTTGAGGAACACCGCGCGCAGTTACACGCGGCTACTTTCGTGTGCAAAAGGCTTAAGCCTACGCGTTATCTAGCTCTTTTTTTTTTCTTATTTGACATACGAAAGATTCTTCCTAAATTCGCTTGTGCCCTACAAAGCGCTCGCGTATGTGTACGTGTACATATATAGGCGCATACATATATATATATATA